CATCATTCAGCAATGACGGATGGCACAAGCAATATTTGCGAGAAATATAATATTTGCGCGAGAAAATATTACAATATTTGCGAGAGAAAATATAAAAATTTAAAGAAATCTTTATTTGGCAGAATGGGATAGAAACAATCTTTTTTAAGATCACCGCATTCTCGCAAAGAATTTCGGAAACTCGAACGCACTTATTGCCGAAGATGATCATGCATCTATCGAAGGACTGAGAAAATTCAAGCTTCCTTACAAAACAAGTTTTAAAACTATTCTCAAAACTTCATAATCATATTTATTTTCAGAAACCACTATCACTTGACAAGATAACCACTATCGTCGAAAATCAGTATAATTAACATACGGAAATTATATTCGAGTCCTTATTGCACGTTTCTGTGTTATTAATGCACAGAGAACATTGGTGCCAAGGGTGCCATGTATTAGGTGTAGCATTAACTAGATTTAGGAATCTCCTTAATTCCAGTCTCATTCAATGATGCCTCAAGAGGCTGGCTAGTCTTATTTAGAGCCCTCAAAGGATTAGGAGTAAGAGGTTCAAGACCATACCAAAGATCAACACAGGGAGAGGAATTACAGTGTTAAGACCTTCTGAATGTTAGAGTCGATCTTAATTCTGATGTTATCATAATATTGGTGATATAAAGGAAAAAAAGTATCACATGTAGAGTTAGATTGATACTCAGTTATGGGCGTTTTTTGAATAATTTAACTGAAAAATTTAATTGAGATTTTGAAACTAAATCTTGTGAGAAATTCCTCCTTTCCCACCGTCAATTTGTGTGAATGCTAGGGTTTATTTACGGGATCTATTGTTGGCTTGGAATTGCTTAGAATTCCGCTTCTCTAACTGTGGGAAATTTCCCACCGTTAATCAGATTTCTATTCTTTGAACTGTATTTAGTAATAATTTATGTTTGGGTAATATTAAGATTAGTCTAGGGTAAGTTTAGTGTTAGGGTAATTTATCAATTGCAGCAAATGATATTTGCCGACAGTGCCAGTCCAAAGTTATACCGCCTTCAAGCAGTGTTCAAAGTCTGTTCAAATTCATTATTCATAGCTCAAAACCTTAACCGCCGTTTTTGAACCGGTGAACAAGTTACTTCAATCGAAGTTCAAGTATTTCTGCCATCTTGCTATAATACCTGTTTCTCTATCCCTTGGTTTGTATGAATGTCGTGTGAATTTCGTTTTGTTTATTTTTGCTCTATTAAATTCATTTATCAAATCTGTTGGGAAGTTGGACCTAGTTTAAGGATATAATCAAATTTATTCAAATTCAAATTTCATGCTTTAAGCCAATTCTTCCACCAATTCTTCCAAATCAAATCAAATTGATTTCTTATTTAATGTTCTTCGCTCGAGAAGTGAGTTATTTTCTTTACGTTACCTGCAAAGATCATTATTTAAACCTTAGTCTTAAGTCTTTATCTTAAATTTCTAAAGCATCAAAACCTTCTACTTTTCTTGCTCTTTTTCCCGTCCAACTTCCCACCCCTTAAACTGATTTCCACCACTTTCCATCAATTATTCTTCCTTCATAAAGTGTTTACCTCACTGGGCATTTAAACCTCAGGTTCGTAATGTTTTCAGTGCAAAAGTGAAATTTGTTAAACTTTCGCAAGATTTATGATTTAAATTCATTTCTTTACAGTATACCTTAATCCGATCATGAGACTGACCGGCCGTAATTTATTTGTACGTCCCGCATTCGTCACCACTTTCTTTCATCGCGTGACCAACCCGCCATCTTCACCTTCACGTTCACCATATACTGAAAATTGCACTTTTGGATTCGGTGCTCATTGACTGAATATTTTCGCCATTATCATGAAGACGAATCATTCGAACTCAAACTCAAGATTTTGTTTGATAAATTAAAATAAAAGCTTCCCAGATTATTTCTTTAATTACTCCCTGTCGATTGTGTGAATACCTCACAATCTACTGCTGCGATGGTGATTAAATCACTTCACCCATCAGTGTTCTTAACGAAAAGAAAGTCGAGTAGAATTGATTAATCATTTGTTTGTGAATTTCCAATCCCAACGTCTTCCTATCAGTGGAAGGGAATTGAGATTGATCTGTTGATCGGTCTTTGATTGGAAAGATTTATCATCTCAGTCGCGACGCTAAATTTACGCTGACTAGGTATAATTACCTGAATTATTCACTTTAGTGCGACTCGTGAAGATCTTAAGAAAATGTCATTTGTTTAAAAATTATCAGTTATTCAGACATTTTCAAGGATCGGAGAAGAAAATATCTTTATTTCACTTCTTTTAGAAAATTTTTATGGAAAATATTGCTTCTATGCGTTTTGTTGTATTTTCAAAGAAAATATCACCATTTTATGTTGTTACGAAGTTCCACTAAAGAAAATATCATCATTTTATGTTGTTACGAAGTTCCACTAAAGAAATATCACCATTTTATGTTGTTACGAAGTTCCACTAAAGAAAATATCACCATTTTGTGTTGTTACGAAGTTCCACTAAAGAAAATATCACCATTTTATGTTATTTCGTAACTCCTTGAATGAAAAAATTGTTTATGCTAAGCGACATTTAAGTCACTAAGGAAAATATGGGACGGGACCAGCAATTCTCATCTGCCCGAGTGCTCGCGGTATCGAGTCTTATTCATGCTCTGGCAATTCGTTTAAATTTTAATAAAATATTAGTTAAGTGAATTGGAATACGAAAATAGCAGCGGCTCAACCATATATTGATCTGGAATTTAAGCATGCAGGTAGAAGAATCAGATATATTTATTATTTGAACGAAATTTGAAACTTTTGTTCTTCAAAAAAACGTTCGCTGAAGCAGTCGAGCATTAGACTTCCGATCAAATCGAAATTACCTTTGATTTGCTGAAGAATTAAAATAATATCGTCGAATATATTCACAATTCAATTGATGCAGAAGTTTTTTACAAGTAATGACGTTGATTTCTGTAGCAGCATCTCTATTAACCGCGAAAAATTTAACGTAATTAAGTTTGCAAAAGATGCTACTTGTCGGAAAAGTTTTCCTGTGGAATGTCCTACTTAGCAATGAAAATTGTTGACACTTCTTTTGAATAACTGACTATTCTGGCATATAAGATCTGATCTGTTGATCGGTCTTTGATTGGAAAGATTTATCATCTCAGTCGCGACGCTAAATTTACGCTGACTAGGTATAATTACCTGAATTATTCACTTCAGTGTGACTCGGGAAGATCTTAAGAAATGTTCTTTGATTAAATATTATCAGTTAGTCAGATATTTTCAAGATCAGAGAAGAAAATATCATTATTTCGCCTTCTTTTAGAAAACTTGTAAGGAAAATATTTATCTCTCATGTTTTGTTGCATTTTTAAAGAAACAATCACCATTGTATGTTATTTCGTAACTCCTTGAATGAAAAAATTGTTTATGCTAAGCGACATTTAAGTCACTAAGGAAAATATGGGACGGGACCAGCAATTCTCATCTGCCCGAGTGCTCGCGGTATCGAGTCTTATTCATGCTCTGGCAATTCGTTTAAATTTTAATAAAATATTAGTTAAGTGAATTGGAATACGAAAATAGCAGCGGCTCAACCATATATTGATCTGGAATTTAAGCATGCAGGTAGAAGAATCAGATATATTTATTATTTGAACGAAATTTGAAACTTTTGTTCTTCAAAAAAACGTTCGCTGAAGCAGTCGAGCATTAGACTTCCGATCAAATCGAAATTACCTTTGATTTGCTGAAGAATTAAAATAATATCGTCGAATATATTCACAATTCAATTGATGCAGAAGTTTTTTACAAGTAATGACGTTGATTTCTGTAGCAGCATCTCTATTAACCGCGAAAAATTTAACGTAATTAAGTTTGCAAAAGATGCTACTTGTCGGAAAAGTTTTCCTGTGGAATGTCCTACTTAGCAATGAAAATTGTTGACACTTCTTTTGAATAACTGACTATTCTGGCATATAAGATCACTGCCCCAATTCTGAATACAATTCTGAATAAAATTCTTAATACAATTCCGAATACAATTCTGAATAAAATTCAGAATAAAATTCTGTATAAAACTTGAACAATATTATGAATTAAAATATGAATTAAATTTTGAATGGCTAACGGTGTTGCGTATTCGCGATTAATAAGCTATCGAGAGCTCGACCTTCGAATGCGTAAATTCAATTTGGAGAACATTCGGCAGGCTTTAATATTAGAGGCTCATCTGAAATTCGATGCCGTGCAATTTGAAGGCTAACTTCGAGGCTGTTTTCCGGAGATCGTTATAAACTTTATCCTAGAAATTTCTAACCGGCTTAGAATCACTGAAAGTTTTCTGTGTGAATACAGTGCACAATTACAATAACTTTGTTACTAAACAATATAAGGTAAGTTCTACAATATTGAGGATGGAATTTACGAATATTAACTTACGTGAAAAATTTATCACTAAATAATACTAATTAAAACTTTACATTTATTTCTTAATTTCAGCGAATAAACTTTGCTGCATATTTAAATGTATTCTATGACAATTTTATCAGCCACAAAAAGATTCCAATTCAAATGTATTTGTCACGTCTGAATTTCTTTAATCAGTCAGTATAAATAATTAAAATGGCCAGTGAGACATGGGCAAAATAATATCTGGGGGGACTGCGAGGGTAAAAACTATATCTGGCAACATCTAGCTCAGTGTTGCCACCAGCACAGAAGTTTCTGTAGCCAATACAGATTATTTATCTTGCTCGAAATAATTTTGACATTGGGGAAGTGTACTGAATAAATAGATAGAGTGCTATGCAAAACACTTCTTTCGTTGGTTTTATTGAAATAATACATGATATCTTATGAATAAATTACTTTATTCAATGCTATATCTGAAGAATGTCCTGAAATTAAAAACATTTCTCAAGATCTTCTCTCTGAACACGAGTCCATGGCACTGGCAACCTTCTTCCCTCAGTTGCTTGCTGGACTCTGCAGTGGTAAGGCTGTCGCTCGGCCGCACTCAAGAGAAATCCATGGAACGTCACTCATCAAGTGACATTTTTAGCTTCCGTGGACACGTAAAATCTTTTGAAAATTAAATTCAGCGTATTGAGGAGTACGTTGAGGCTGATGATCAGCTCGGAACAACATTCGGTTTAGTTCCACATTTTCAGAAATTATTGGTGCAGTTGAACAGTAAGGAAAAATTCACCCATTGGCAAGCGCTCCAGTTTCATTTATACGGGACCATTTGCGGTCGATTTATTATTCTCTGTTTGCAGCGAGCAGGTCTGGACGTTAAAGGAATAACAGATGAACTGCTCATCGTGAGGAAACTTAATCACAAATACTGGTGAGTTTTATATTTATATTGCGACGATATTATTGTGAGGGGATAATAGAATTCCTCATGCAAAATTGATGTTTTTGATCACTTCAGGTGCCCGTTTTCATAGATTTATCACAAAAAATTGAGGAGTATTATTCATCACATTTTTTAGTACTTTTACAAATGAGTGTAATATTAATTTATTGTTTAGTTTAGGACGCTCAAGAATTGAACGCTTTCACAACGCGAAAATATGCATTCACCATTTTCTTAGCATTAGTTTTGAAACCCTAATTGAATATCATCACAGACACGTTTGTAACCCTCACTTCATAACCCTCACTTCAAAACCCTCACTTCACAACCCTCACTTCATAACCCTCACTTCATTACCCTAACTTCATAACCCTCACTTCATAACCCTAACTTCATAACCCTAACTTCATAACCCTCACTTCATAACCCTAACTTCATAACCCTCACTTCATAACGCTCACTTCATAACCCTCACTTCACAACCCTCACTTCATAACCCTCACTTCATAACCCTCAATTCATAACCCTCGCTTCATAACCCTCACTTCACAACCCCCACTTCATAACCCTTGCTTCATGACCCTCACTTCATAACCCTCACTTCATAACCCTCACTTTACAACCCTCACTTCATAACCCTCACTTNGCAACGAAATGTTGCGTGGTGAAGGCAACAAAATGTTGCGTGGTGAAGGCAACGAAATGTTCCGTGGTGAATGCAACGAAATGTTGCGTGGTGAAAACAACGAAATGTTGCGTGGTTAATTAGGGCAGCAAAATGTTGCGTGGTGAAGGCAGCAAAATGTTGCGTGGTGAAGGCAGCAAAATGTTGCGTGGTGAAGGTAACAAAATGTTGCGCGGTAAAAGCAACAAAATGTTGCGTGGTGAAGGCAACGAAATGTTGCGTGGTGAAAATAACAAAATGCTGCGTGGTGAAGGCAGCAAAATGTTGCGTGGCGAAGGCAACAAAATGTTGCGTGGTGAAGGCAGCAAAATGTTGCGTGGTATCTGAAGCCAGTCAACTTTTAGATTGTTCGTTTATCGAGAACAGATTTTCTAATAAATCAAACTAATAGTTTTTATCTCCTGATTTAATTTGTTATCGTAGTCGTTTCGTTGCTTGCTAGGCTTTCTTCACTTTCAAAGAATTTATTTTTCTTGTTGTATGTCAAATTATTAATATTAATAATTCGTCAAAATTTATTAATAATAAGTTAGCCACTTAATCTATTGAATTGCAAGCAGCTCTTTCGTCCCCACGGTTGTTTTGTAAATTTTTCGTTACGAAATCGCTTTGAGTTCAATAAAAAATTGCATGATAAATTTTAGGAATATGATTTCAATGGGGTCATATTCATAATTGGGGTTCAAACATTTCGATAAGATTGCGCTGCCTATATTACATTATTAGACATGTTACCGAATCCGAATAGTGATATTTAATTAACACTTCATAAAACTAAAGTCAACGGCACCATTTAAATAACTCAATGCTTTTTTTCTGAACCCTAGACCATTAAAACATTGTAATAAAACATAAATTTAGCAAATATTCCAAATCGGTTGAAAGAGTATTAATTGATTAGACTAGATTGGTGAGCGTGATTGCTATAGCAATCACTGACTAACGTTGCTTCACGGAAGAAGTCATGGCAGCGATTGTGAAGTTCAATACAGAGAGTTATAGCCATGCCCTGTACCAGGGGCCATACTTTCAAAACTCGCTAAGTGAACGTAAGTACTTACGCTCTATTTTCTTGTCTATGATTGGTGGATTTTGCTTGAAAGGCCGTCAATGATTGGCTGATGAACTTACGATCTCTGAACTTTTTTTGAAAGTATAGGCCCACCAGGTCATGATATTGCTCAGTCGTGTCCCGCACCTGTATTGTGAACGCTCAGCCCCTATAGCTGTATCAACCAACGCATGCAAGCCAAATTGAATGGAATACTTGATGAAGCGGTCGGTGGAATGGATGAACTTAATTGTTGCGATGTAGAAGGGAGGTCGTCAGGTGTTTTTGAGGTTCAATTGAAGGATCTAACCCATGCATTCACGGTTAAAAAATCTTCGAGGTTGAGTTGAAGGTGCATACTGTTTGGAGGTTCAGAACAGTACATGGAAGTTTGTACAATTGCACTGGCTACCCAGGTTCTAATTTGCTAACTTAAGCAGAACCATGAAACTTGAAGGAATAGAAAAATACCGACGACTGGTGAGCATTGGCGAAATTTATACTTCCACTGGAAATTGATAGATCATTATCAACTGCTTCACCAATCCGTTCCCGATTTCCATCAAAAGCTTACTAGGCATTCCATATTCTTGTTGACCACGCAATAACGTCCAGTACTCTGTGATTTGATACACGTATTCACAGTTCAAAACTTACAATATAAAAAGTAAAGAAGAAGCAGTGCATTTGAAGTAAAACAACTCTGATTCGTTCAAGCCGAGAGCTCCATAAATCTCCATAGTTTAAATGAGAAGCCTTTGAGATAATTGTGTATTTATCGGACTATGACGTACAGCATGATTGATTTATGCGATGGTTTAAAGAGCCTCGCTCTGCGTTTCAGATCTGAAGGCCAAATTTCTTTCATTTTTACCACCAACTCATTCCAATGTTCAGCTTCAAAAAATGCTAAGGCTCTAATTGAGTGACGTATAGTCGATAGAAGCACGGCGCTTTATCCGATAATCGTTCACTGCTCTTAAGTTATCGACTATACGAGCCCGCATTGAAGAGTTATTGATGCTCTCCGATATATACGTCACGGAACGCTTTAATGCGGACGAGATGCGGAAAACATTACCGGCGTTATAGCCGCACGGAAGATGGTATCGCTCATGACATAGATACAAAATTTTTCGTACAAAAATGAGGTTTAAATATCTTAGTCGCTCGGCAACGGAAAATTACGTTTGTCAAGGTTTTCAATTATTTTGAGCCTTCATTTTTAAACATCGCAGGGATTAATTTTTCAAACGTGAAATGCCCCAGCATAAGTAATCGTTTAAAGAAGTGTACAGAAATGATCTAAATTATTGAATTAATTCATTCCATTTGCATTAAAGAACAACTGCTGCCTAATTACACTAATATTGCAGAATTATATTATTAATTATTCTAATTCTTGTCCTCGAAATTCTTAAATAATCTATTTAGCGAGTTTTCATCGCATGTGTGAGACTAGTGTGTTAGAATTCAATACATGAAATTCAATCAACTGCATTTGTGGGCAAACTTTGAGTTAAATAATCTATTTTTAATATATTTTCTGAAATATATCTCATGAAATAAAGTATTTAGGGTTTCCAACTTTAATTTATATTTCAATCAATCTATTTTTATCTAAGAAAATACGAGTGGTTAAATTGAAGGTTTTAGTGAGTTATTATTGGAAACAAAAAATTTTAAAAAGATTCACGTTGTTACTGATTCTCAAGCTGAACGGTATTGATGTGGAACAGTTCTTCAGAATGAGTCTATCCCTTCGATAAAAAAGTTTGGAGAGAAAACCACCAGTAGAAAGTCTAGCTTCGACGTTATTAAATCAATATCCAATAGTCAGAGTATGCATCGTAAATTTCTGTAGTTGTTTTTCTCTAACGGATCTGGAAGGAGGAAGTGAAGTTTTCAAATATTTTCTTGAAAATAAACATTCAACTGAAATCTTATTTAACTGATATTTTATTCCAGACGAATTCAGTATTTGAGTAATTTTTTTTAGATCAACGATGAACTATTTGAAAATTCTTTTGATGATACATGTAAAACGTTATGATGAAATTTATTTTAATTACATTTTTATTTTAATAATCAGGGTTTTTACGAAAAGAAAATTGATGAAAACGATAAACTTTTGAATGTAACACAAATGACGCAGGAATTAATCATGCAGACAAAAGCGATTACATAAACTACGCGATACAAATTTAAATGTTCTAGCGAGAACCTAAGGCGAAACAAAATGCAAAGGGTATGTAATGCTTACACAAAAGTAGAAACGCCAGTCTATCTTTAATCAATAAAATTGACATGAATGAGACGCTTAAAGAATAGGTTTTTTGGTTATTGGAAAAATAATCTATAAAGATAAATCCGCAACGAAATTTGATTAGTTGAAAACTTTTCTCGATCTCAGAGCTGTTTTGGAATTATTTTATTACATTTCTACAATGATTGGAGGGTAATTCACAGTTAACAAAAGTTTTTATTCAGCCTAGTAATATGATTTAGAATCTCAGGGTCAAGCCACCTTCAACCATTCCACAAAACTGGAAGTTAAACTTGCTTTGAAATTTACATTATTAGGTATAAATTATAGTTATGTCGTAATTGTTAATCTTATGGACAAGCCTACGCCTTCAACCGTTTTTCAGAGCTGTAAGTCAAATTTGCCCTAGAATTTCTTCAGGTAGAAAATTGAAATTCTGTACCCTTTGATCAAGACTTTGCATCATCCCAAAAAAAGCTACCAGAAAGACCACGTTTACAAAGGTTCGGCACCTTCACGCCTAACCTGAAGTCTTTTTGCCTTAACCTTGTATATCAGAGTTACTCGTATACGTCTCTCAGCTTGAAGGCTACTATAGAAGCTGATAATCTATTTTAGAGTAGCTGATGAAGGCTACTGTTAAAGATGATAATCTATTGTAGAGTAGCAGAGGAAGGCTACTATAAAAGCTGAAAATCTATTTTAGAGTAGCTGGGGATGGTTACTGTAAAATCTAATAATCCATTTCATAAAAGATGGGGAAGGCTCTGGTCAAGACTTCACCCCTGCTAAGGGAAGGGCTGAAGTAAGCAATTAATGAAGGCGGGAAGCGCAATTCTTCATGAGCTGCGAGGTTTGGCAAAATGACTTCATCACGCGCCCCCCTCGAGGGAGCGATAACCCCTTACCCTCAGGGCATCAGCCTCGCTACAGGGCGCATCGGTCGCTTGACTTTTACCTCGACATAAAAAAATTACATGTAAATT